GTTTATTACAAGATTCCTTTATTCCTCATGCTGAATGGACCCTTTTTTTTTAATGTGCGCATATCTAAACCCAAGCTTACCAATCCTTAGATGTGGTGGCTGCATTAGATTTTCCTGTTTCAGGCGCTTTTTCCCTTTATTTTTACCTGTTGATCCTGCCAGTAACGTACTTCCTGTCCCAGGGTGACAACGTCCACTCACTGTACTGTAGAAAGGAGCAGTGTTGTCATTCAGACAGATAACAATGTTTTGTCCTATCGGTACAGCTCACAGGAAGGACACAGCATTTTTGGGGGGGATCAACAGGTAATTTTCTGTACTTGCTGAAAATGATCTTATAAAATGAAAATTAATGCAACCACCACATTTGGGGGATCGGAAATCCAGAATACTGTATATTATATATTTGAGTTGTTTTTGGTTAGAGCTCCATTAAGTGTATCTAAACCCAAGAACAAAAATGTAATATGTTGCAGATTACCAGCCCTTAGATGTGGTGGCTGCATTCGTTTTCTTGTTTCAGGCTTTATTCCCTTTTATTTTCACCTGCTGATCCTGCCAGTAACACACTTCCTGCCCTAGGGTGACATTACCCATTCACTCTACTGCAGGGATCTCAAGTCTCCCTGATGTTCAGGGAGTCTCCCTCTATTAGATATCAGCTCCCTGATCTCCGAGAGAGGCATTTTCTCCCTGAAATGTTTACTCTGAGTAAACCTTTCCGGTAAGATATCAGTGGGTAAAGTTTCAGAGTGAGGCTTGCCTCCTGGAGGAAGGTCATGTGATCTCTAGAGTAGCCTCAGAACGAGGCTTGGCTCTCAGAAGGAAGAAGCTACTTGCTGCACAGAGAGGGCGGACATAGACTACTATTGAGAGCAGGTACAGGCACTGCTGCAGGGTTGAGAGAGTGCTGTTAACCCTTTGTGGATAATATAGAATCAATTGTATGTCCTGGTTGTCTAGTTATAGAGAACATTTATTTCATTTGCTGACCATAGCAACTAGTCAACTGTGTATCAGGGACTTTACTCCTCAGTGTTTTTAAAAAAAAGGTCTCGGGCTGTCTAATAAATTGTGACCTTTACACTGACAGATACTTGAACATCAATTCACAAATCTGATGTATATATAAATACATATATAATATTATTGTATTATTGGTGTGTGTGTGTGTGTGTGTGTGTGTATGTATAATTATTATTATTTCTTTTATATTCTGACGACGGCTGCTGTAAAAAAACAACAAAAAAACCGAAAGGGCACCTCCTTGAAATGAGACAGGAACCTCCCTGAAATAAGGTTTTGCAGGTTGGGATGTCTGCTCTACTGGGAGGAGCAGCATTGTCACCCTAGGACAGAAAGTGTGCTAGAAGTAAAGAACATTTCCCCCTTTCCTCATTTCCATAACATGGCGAGCGGGTGGGAAGCTGGGGAGGAAAGATCTAGATGATGCTGGCTCCAACCAGGAAATGTCTGACTTGCTCTATCTGACTTGCTGCAGCTTCTGGTGCACATTTGTGAGAAGCTCACAATGTGCAGTGATGTCAGAGGAAGCAATATCAGTCCAGGAGAGGAGCCGGTACAACTGTGCAAGAATGAAGGGAAGGCCGGAGGTCAGATTTAAAGTGTATGTCCAGCCAAAAGCTTTTTATTTCATTTTGGATAGAGTGCGTGAGGATTAGAACCACCGTCAGGATTTTACCGCTATCCGAGGCTGTGTTAGAGAGAATTACCCTTCCTGTGCTGTTGGCGGCGTTTTACCAGACAGGGAGTGAGGGTAACAGTGACACAGAGAAGCGTAGAGTAGGGGAAGTATAGAACCCTCAGCACAACAACAGGAAGTGAAGGGAAATCACTCTAATGGAGCCTCCAACAGTAAAAACCAGAGAGGCATTCTAATCTTTTTCCACTCTATTCAAACCTAGAAGGAAAGGTTTTTGGCTTGACATACACTTTAAAACTTCCATGAATTTGGCGGCTGTAAGGAACTTTTTTTTAAATGTTGGTGACATCAGGGAACCTGCAGGGGGCATGTCCTGGAATTTCTATTCTGCATCACAAGTAGGGGTACCCAGATCTCCAGCTTACATACAAAAAGGAAGTGGGGTGGACTGGGGCACTACAGCAACGCCTGGAAAGAAAAGACTGAAATACCGAGCAGGTAATCTTTGTTCCCTGGTTACATTTTATAAAGCCTGGAATATTTCATCCATTCTTTATTCGTAACGAGTGGCAAGTTATGGAATGTCATTGTCATTCTTGTATGGGAGTCAAGCAGCGTGCTCATTTTATGGAATGATAAATATATGTCCTCCCATCTGAATCCTGCTGGGAGCTGTGACGCTGCTCTGAAGCTAGCATCCCTGATTCTGCTTGTTCGCGCTCCGACATGACAGTGTGGCATTCCGCTCGGCAGGGAAGATCATCGGGACGGTGTGATCCGGCACCTCGCATTTTCCCCTCCCGCAGCCCTCCTCCCCGACTCATTTCGATAATTCACAGCCCCGGGGGAGGGGATTAAATCTGCTCCACGGAAATCATGGAAGGACCAAATAACCGCTGAAATTACCGACTTGGATTGTCTGGGGATGCTCGTGTGTTCCGTATTTCCTGCAGATGTGTTTTTGTGGGTTGGGATACGTAAACCTTGACCTGGTTACCTTAAAGCCTAACTCCAGAGGAAACCTAAAACTGCCCTTGCAATGGGGCTGCCCTTGCACCATAAGGGTTAAGGGCAGGTGTAGGTAGACATAAGGTCTAGGGCAAGGGTAGTTAGACTTCGGCTCCCCAGCTGTGGTGCAACTACAAATTCCTTCATGCATCGGCCACTGGAAGTCATGCCTGTGGCTGTCAGAGTCTTGCAATGCCTCATGGGATTTGTAGTTTCACCACAGCTGGAGGGCCAAAGTTTGGCTACCCCTGGTCTAAGGTATTAAGGTAGTGGATAAAGCAGTTCTAATTACCTGACCCCAGCTCCCCCAGCAGTCAGCGCTCTCCTCGTCTACCCTACACTGCAGCTTGTGGACTGTCCCTCAGCATCCTTACCTATAATGCAGGACTGTGGGCTTAAAAGTCCTTTGCCCAGGTACCCTAGACCTAAACAAGCATTTAACCCTTGCAGTGCAGCTGCAAAGGGAGTTTTTGTATTTCCTAGCTGGTACAAAGGGCTGCAGCAGGTGGGGCAGTGGCACTAATCTGCAGAACTGCATGTTCGGAAAAAACTTGTTGTCACTCTGCACTGCACCACAGCCTAGATGGGGGACCACAAGGGTTTGTGTATGATTTTACAAATGTCGATGGAGCGAGTGTGTCCTCTGTGCAATAAGCTTTTTTTTACTCAAAGCTGCCCTTTAACCCCCTCCAAAAAGCAAAACCTGTACTGAAAAAAAGGACCCTTGGAGAATGGCCGGCTTAGTATAATTGGTTGCAATGGGATGGCACCAATGCTAACAGTGCTATCTAAGGCCCTTTAACTCTCCATCCCAAGCGACAACCGACCCAGCCCTGTTCTTTTGTGCCTGCCTCTAATGACGGTGCACGCATCTGCCCGCAGAGGTGCCAGCCTCCGCTCTCCAGACGTAGCTCTGCGCTACGCTAAGCTCATCAAATGCAAAGCTTCGCCGCAGAATCCTGGCCACGTACTATCTAGAGGAGGCAGACTCCGCTGCCAAGGCAGATCAACCTAATCCCAGAGTGAAAGCAAAGTATCTGGCAGCGCGGTTAATGTTTTGGCTCATACTTAAAATATTCTGATAGCTGTTCCTGCCTGTCTTCCGCTCCCTATTGCATTACCTCGAATCACCTTTTCGTACGAGGCATCTGATGCCAGTCACTTATGAATTTAATATATCCTGTTGAAGAGTAGAGCATATAGGCAGCCTTGCGGTAAAGGTTGACATTGAAAGGCTTCCTAGGTGGCTCGCTTTGACCTTGATTGAGTTGTTTTGCTTCCATGTGCTCCCGGCACGGTATAATATTGTTCTCTCAGCTCACCGGGAACTCTGTATTGTGCTATTTGTGACCACAGAGGAGAAAATGTTATTCACTAGTCAAAAATAAACCCACAGGCTTCAGAAGTGATTGTTTAAAAGGAATGCGTAGTGGTTTTGGACATATTTTCCTTTATATTATATTCAGGGCTAAAAAAAAATGTAAAAAATATTTTTCCTCCAGTCCGGTAAATAAGAAATACTGCATATGAGTATTATGCAGTCTTTTATCCAGCCAGCAGATGGAGCTGTAGTCGCTTTTTTCATTTTCTGTAGCCTGTTGTGGACAGAGATCAGTAGCTCAAGCTGAATGAATCAACTGAATGAGTTATAGGAGTAACAGATCCCTTATCAGACACATCAGTCAGACGGGAGCAATCTGAAGGGAGATATTTACTACTGTGCTCTGTAAAAATCCTTTGTCACATATAAAAGGTTTACTAGGAATGTATACATATGCTGAAAAGACACAAAAGACATCAGATAAAAAAGTTGTGAAGTTAAGAAATAGAAATAAATTTGACTTAAAACCATTATAGTTTACATTTCTATCACCGGGTTAGGTTGCAGAATAGGTTGCATTCTCAGTGATGTCACCGTCTAGTGAATGGATAGGCTGCATTCTCAGTGATGTCACTGCTCTCTAGTGAATAGATAGGCTGCATTCTCAGTGATGTCACCGGTCTCTAGTGATTGGATAGGCTGCATTCTCAGTGATGTCACCGGTCTCTAGTGATTGGATAGGCTGCATTCTCAGTGATGTCACCGGTCTCTCTCTAGTTAATGGATAGGCTGCATTCTCAGTGATACCACCGGTCTCTAGTGAATGGGTAGGCTGCATTCTCAGTGATGTCACCGGTCTCTAGTGAATGGATAGGCTGCATTCTCAGTGATGTCACTGGTCTCTAGTAAATGGATAGGCTGCACTCTCAGTGATGACAATGAGCTTGACTGTCTTATATTGCGTCATGTTTTGTTTTTTTACATATTGATGCCTTGTTTTCCCCCTAGATACACCAAGATGAAAACCGCCACCAACATCTACATCTTTAATCTGGCTCTGGCCGACGCACTGGTCCTGATGACCCTCCCGTTTCAGGGCACGGACATCATCATGGGGATTTGGCCCTTCGGAAACGCCTTGTGTAAAATCGCCATTGCCATCGATTACTACAACATGTTCACCAGCACGTTCACCCTGACCATGATGAGTGTCGACCGCTACATCGCTATCTGCCACCCGGTGAAGGCGCTTGATATCCGTACCCCGCACAAGGCCAAAGTGGTCAACGTCTGTATCTGGATTCTGGCCTCCTTCATCGGTATTCCCGTTATGGTCATGGGCTCAGCGGAGATGGACAGTGAGGGTCAGTAGCCAATTTTTTTTACATTTGACTTATTCCATAAAACCAACTTGTGTTTAGCTAGATAAAGTAATACTATATTTGTCAGTCTAGCATCCAGTTTTCGATTGGTGCGGACATGGGGCACTGATACACATATCTACCAAAAGTGTAGCGCTCAGGAGGATGACAATCTTTTTTTTTTGCTAGTAATAGGTCTGTGATCTGCTGCAGACCCGTAGTAAAGGACTGCATAGTGGCTTTGTTATACTGATGTAAACAGGTTGGGTAAGGCAAAGCCATGTCTGTGGGAAAGTCCATGTCTATGCCACAGCCCTTTCCACCAACCTATGCTTGTTAGATTAGAACCATGTGAACCATTGTTGGCCTTTTACATTTATGGGTAGCTTTCAGTAACTATACATGTGTGCATGAAAAAAATCTTGACATGTCATGATATACAGCAAAAGAACCATTTTTTTTTTTTTAAAGTTCCACCTTCTATCATTAAAAAGCCATCCCTGGGCTGCAGACCAGTGACTTTACTTAGACTGAGACCAGTCTTCTCTGAGCCGGCATCATAGACCAGGAGATGGTGACCTTGGATGATGCCTTAACAAAAGTGATGCCATCTTCAGGGCCGGATTAATTCTCCCTGCTGCCACAAGGCCAGGTTCCTCAATGCGGCCCCCTACATGCCACCCCCCCCCTCCCCCTATGGAGAATGGCAGACGTGCAGGCTGCATACAAGTGATCTCTGCAAAGTCACCGAGATCACTTGTGCAGAACAAGCAGCGGCTTTCCCGCTGTACATTTAGCTCTGCTTGCCCAAAGCAGAGCTAAATGTAGAAAACAACTACCCGCCCGGGCATTGGGAGATAGGAATTCCACACCCCTGCTGCCCCTCTACTCCCTGCTGCCCCAAGGCCGGGCCTCGGTTGGCCTTGTGGGAAATCCGGCCCTGGCCATCCTTCTAGAGAAAAAAAAAGGCATTGTCAGGGGAAGTTCTGTGATCTCTCTGAAGTGACACTGACATATTGCATAGCCTGCTGCCCTTTACATGAAATCATATATCTGCTATTAGGTCCACTTTAATTCAGCAGGTCCTGTTTAAAAACAGTTGACATGAAGCTATCTAGCCAAGCCTGTGATGTCTCTGACACCGTGCAGTCTGCCCTGACCTCTGCAGATGGGAATTATTGATATAATGAAGGTTGATGTAAAAGTGGCACGCGTGTTTTCCTGACCTGGCTTTGCGAGTGTGCTGCAAAGAAAAATGTTTTATTCCGTACGGAGTTCTTAATTAAAACGTTCCCAGAGTATTTAATGACTTAATGTGTATACTCCTCAGACTAAAGACTGGCTATTAGGGCTGGGGACTGAGAAAAACAACAACTTCTGTATGGGGCAGAATAGAAGAATTAGCCCCTTTCTGTTTCAGGGGAGCTTCAAAGAGTTGGGCTGCCTATAAAAATAACATTATTACCAACACCCCCCCCCCCCCCCTTTTATATCTGTTGATCTCGCCAGAAATCCAGTGTCCTTTTCACTTCCTCAATCTCAAACAATGTCACCAGCCTTCCCAGCTATCTAACTACAAAACACCTCCTCCCTATGTATGTAATGGGGATGTGGGGAGAAGACTTCTGTAGTTGAATTCAGGTGAGCAGCCTAAGGTGTCAACGCTACTCCTCCATAGTACGGTGAGCAGGTCTTGTCACGCTAGGACAGGAAGTGTGTTACTGGCAGGATCTTAGGGATACACCGATACCATTTTTTCGGTATGGAGTACAAGTACCGATATATATTTTTTTCGATACTTGCCGATACTGATACTGAAAGTCCTTTAAGGAAGCCGGAGGCATGTAATGATTCGCCACCCGGCTTCCTGATTAGTCAGGAAGCCGTCTCCATGCTGCCTCGTCACCAGGTGACTAAGCATGGAAACTGCTTCCCAGCCAATCAGGTCATCAAGTCATGACATTGGGCCCGGCTTCATTAACGGCCCCTTCAGTTTCCGGGTTGGCCAGAAAGCCAGCTCCATGCTCCCTGGTGATGAGGGAGCATAGAGCCCACTTCCCGACAACTCAGGACGCTGGGCAGCGTGTAACCACTTGCCGCACGGCTTCCTGATACCTGAAGTTCCGGTATCGGGATATCTCTTTCTTTTCCTTGATGTTTTAGAAATGGCACCCAGGGTCCCTACTAGCCAGTGCTCTTGTCATTAGTATTCTTCTATTACTGCCTACAAGCTATCGCCCCGCAGGACGTGCCGAGGACATGAATTATAGATCACTCTGGAAGCTGTGTGATATTACAGTGACAGGGACAGATGTGGCCGTGTTAAAGTTACCAGATCACTTTCACAGCTACAGGATAGACACCGGAGGAAAAAAAAAACACACAGCAGACGATTTTTTTTAGAGAGCAATAAGGACTGGCCGCCGGCCACCTATCATTTTTGGATACTGCGGGGCTTGTTTGGACAGCGTCCTCATTGTTCCTCATCGAGGGCTGAACAGACTTTGGGATGCTGGGGCAAGTATATAGTTGACACATAGCGACTGTCGGGAGATACAATATCATTGCACTTTGTTGAATACGTTTTTTACTTTTTCGAGTGCAAAGAGGCGTGTTAATCGTTTTCTTGCCATTGAAGGATTCAGCACTTAGAATCACCTTTTAAATTTGCACATCCGAGCAATAATTTCCATTCTTCAAGCATTGTGTTTATAACAGATGACCCCATTGGAGCGAACACTCCAAACATAGACATCAACATGAACATGGCCTTCCCCACTCTAACACAAAACTAGACAGAAATTGCACATTCTGGATGACTGGCACGGCAGCACGCCAATGCGCATTGCCGCACATTGTTGTACTTTATGCTACAATGGGAATCTGGCCTTAAGGTAAGTATTCCTCTATGACTGTTAGGACCCCCTTAGACTAAAGAAGCATTGTATACTGCATATGAGGGAGTGGGGGGTAGTGAGGGGGAGGTTTATGGTGCATTACCTACATTTTTTTGTTGGCCAGCCCAGGGTTTTGCTTTACATCTCTTCACAGTTTAACTTGCATAGTTGCAATAACCTTGCATTTTTATGGGTTTCTGCTACACAAATAATGTTGTGGAAGGTTGGAGCAGTCATAAATCACAGGAACTTGTCTTTAGTCGATGCAGGCTTTGGTGGGCAAGGGATTGGGAAGGCGGAGGGTCTCTCTGGAGAAATGAGATCTGATTAAGTCATGGTTGTTGTGAAGCTGTATCCTGCTGTGATCAACACAACAAAAGAGGGGGGGGCTCCAATAAAAAGTCACCTCTTGCCGCTCTTCCGCCACTGAGCTGTCCTTTTTGTACCGGTAATTGCCCAGACGGATCACACGGACTAGGCCTCATAACCTATCTCAGCGTTTTTTCTTATGATTGCCTATCCTTCTGCCTTGGCGGCTCTTTCCCGTTTTCTCAGCCTTCATGTCAGTCTTCGCTCCTCTGGAGGGGTTTTACCTGCTGCTACTGGGGAATGTTATTAAAGTTATATATCACTGCTGATCGCCAGCGGCTCTGCCTTTTAGAATAAGTAGCGTTGGGCTTAATTACCTTAGAATTAATGTCTCGCTCTTTCTGCCTCGGAGTTCTGACAGGGCCGCATGCAAAGAAAAGGCTCGGCGAGCACATATTTTGAGTTATTATTGTAATGTTTAGCCCCGGTTTTTTTAATGCTGTCTTCACATTTTTACGTTTTCGTAAAAATATATTCATGAATGTTTCACAACACGGGCTGGTAGATACCTCATCTAAAGGCTGTGTGCATTTGACTGGAATCCCTGATCAATGTCTGCTGAGATGAAATGTCAGCCACATAGAGAGTGCATTGTTTTTAAGCAGTCAGCCCCAACCGGTAGACTTGCACAGAGAGGCAGGAGCAGTAAAGTACAATCCCTGTGCTCTACTTAGCAGGAGGCAGAGCCTGGATATTTTTAGCTGAACACTTGGCCAACAGCTAAGCACATGGTTGAAATACATGTACATGGGAGCTGTTTTAATTGCCAAATGACTTGTTATTTTACCCATCCAGTCGTGAGATTTACAGAGCCCTGCCAGACAGTTGGTGACCTGACTTTTCCCTATTCCACTTAGCAATGCAGGTTAGTCATCTTCTGATCCACTTATACGGGTGATTGGTGGGAAAGGTGCCCTCTTCTACTTACCGCTCTTTTCTACCCACCCTTTGAACACCACTGTTCTTGGGTGCTCTATTGATTAGATCTCTACGCTGTATTCACTCCTCTGCACGCCTGACATGCGCATTATGAGTGGTTGCCACCATCCCTGCGCTGAGCTCCCAGCTGTGCACACCTTACATGTCCATTATGGGGAGCTCCCACCATCCCTGCACTGAGTTACCAAGTCTGGACACCTCCTGTGACCATTACAAGGGGTTCTTACCATCCCTGAGCTGAGTTCCTGGCTGTGAACACCACATTATGAGGATCCCACCATCCTTGCATTGAGTTTCTGGGTCTGTTCACCTGCAGTGCCCATTTTGAGGGTTTTCCACCTTCCCTGCATTGAGTTCACAGGTCTGTACACCTGCTGTGCTCATTAAAAGGGGTTACCACCATCCAAGTTCTATGTTCCCGGGTTTGCACACCTTACATGCCCATTATGAGGAACTCCCAACTTCCCTGCACCGAATTCCTGGGTTTGCACACATTACGAGGGGCTTGTGAGGGGCTCCCACCATCCCTGTACTGTAATCCCAGGACTGCACACCTGCTGTGCCCATTATTAGGAGTTCCCACCATCTACGCAGGTCACTGGGAACAGAAGCCAGAAATTATGGCAGGGAGTATCAAAGATATATAGGAAAGATGGTTCTGCCCACCAGGCTTCACCAAATCAATAATTGGAAGGAAATGTGAAATTGGGTGGCGTGTGAAATTCTTTTTCTTTGAGAAATGAAAATGAAAGTAAACCATCTAAACCAATAACATTTTCATGGCATTAAAGAAAAAAATTGAAATAATGATTACGATTGATGCGTCGTAGAGAAGGATTGCGAGTGACGTGTCCCTATGATGGCCAATCACTGTTATACACTCCACAGAAAGCATACTCTATATATATATATATAGTGTATTATATATACTATACGAGTGCTCAGACCTCTTGTGCTTGCTTGCTCTGTGGCTCGTGCTTTTTTCACACTGCCTTCTTGAATTCCGCAGCGCGTTTTTTGTCTTGAGTGTATATCAGGCTGTCACAAGGCAGACCAATAAATGAAGGGTGGTTGGTAATGCGCGAGGTTCTGCTAGAATTGCCGAGGATATTGCGTTCTTTTGAGGATATAAATCAAGCAAGCTCTGGGACTTTCTACCGAAACACTATTTCTAAAGAAGCAAATTATAGTGACACGTTAGATACATTGTGTTTGTGTGCCGGTGTGGGAATGAACCTATAATTTTCCTGCTCCTGATCTGATTGGATTATTTGCAGGTTCTGTGTAGCTAGGCAGTTTCTATCACTGAACATTGCTTGATGAGATCCTGAAGGGGAATTCTTGCTTACACCATGTTTTGTTCCCGACAACGCAAAAGGGTCAAAACTATCACGAAATGTGAATGTTAAAATAAATGGGGTCAATCCATCCAAAAGTCATGTTTCAGCTTGGGGAGGATTTTGGTGCACTCAATCACCCTCAGGTTTATTACATCTTGTAGGAACTCCAGGAGGAAAAGGAAGCGTGAGACACTAGTGACTGGCGTATAGTCAGGAACTCTGGAGTCCTCAGGGGACATCAAAAGTCGGCCAGTGATTTAATCCCTCAGAAATTAGCTTTACCTGAAAATGTCATATCATACGGGCTGACCCTTTGACTGACCCTTTGACTGAAATGTTGCAATCAAGATCAAAGCATTCAGAAAGACATTGTACTAAAAACCTCCATTGCTCCCAGTCCTACCTCCGCTTTGTGCAGGGTGCGTAAATATGACCGTGGAGTCCAAACGTTAGTCCCAGTGCTCTCTGTAATCAGCATTCCGCAACAGACATGGTCAGACACACCTCCTCTCTGGTCAGACATGCCCCCTTTCTTCCTCTGCAATAAAGGTTTGTGTGAGCACATTGGACAGAGGGGTGTAACGTTTCTCAGCTATACCAGCATAGAGCACTGCAGTGTGAGAACAGGAAGCAGCATTTTCACTTAGAGAAAGGGGGATTTTGAGGCACTGCAATGAAAAGAATGAAATCAAGCTTTCATTACAAATCAACAACCCACTTGTTATAATTATATGTCGTTTGGTATTTAGCAGGCTGTCTGTGCCCCACTAAACATCTTCCATCTGGCTACACAAGATGCTCTAAAGCTTTAAAATCACTCCAGGGCAGGCAGTTGATTTACCAGTGGAATGTGAAGGAAATGTAACACCATAACCATGTCCCCTTGCACCCAGACACCTAAGTATTCTGAAAGCTGGGAGAAGCAGGTCCCTTAAAGTGTATCTCCAGCTTTTTTGGCAAGAATAGGGAAGGAATAGAACCTCGGTCAATTATAAGGCCCATTGGAGAGATTTCCTTTCCTTTGGACAACATGTTACCAGGACAGGAAGTGGTGGAAAATCTGCAATGGTGACACAGGCAGCTACAAAACAATTTTCTTTAGTAGAGTAAGAGAAGGCTGGTGGCCCTATCAGCTTTTTATAGCTAAATGGGTTCCTTGCTGGAGGTTTTTCCTCAATTCTCGTTCCAGTGACAACCTTGTCACTGGGACAGGAAATGAGGAAGACTCTTGCCAACTAAACAAGAGGCAGCCATTCCTACTCTGTTCATAACACAAGAAAAAAAAAAGTTTTGTCGTGAGTTACAATTTAATAGCTATTATCTGTCTGCCCATGCAGCAAACACATGACAGGGGGCACATTTAGACTGCATCAGACCACCGGTTTAGCAGACAATTTGCAACTTTATGTTTTAGGCCACATTTCAGGGACAGATTGGATGAATGTATGGGTAAGAAAACCCTTTAATAACATGTTTTTTTCCCCTATTCTTGCAGGTATTGAGTGTATGGTTCAATTGCCTGATCCTGAACATTATTGGGAACCGGTCTTCGGCACCTGTGTGTTCATGTTTTCCTTTGTCATTCCTGTCTTGATTATCACCATCTGCTACAGCCTGATGATTAGACGACTGAAGAAAGTCCGCGTTTTGTCTGGGTCAAGGGAGAAAGATCGTAACCTGAGGAGGATCACCCGTTTGGTGTTGGTAGTCGTTGCCGTGTTTATTATCTGCTGGACCCCTGTCCAGATCTTCGTGTTGGTGCAGAACCTTGGAGCCAAGCCCGACAGCGATGTCAAGGTGGCTATCCTTCTCTTCTGCATCGCCCTGGGCTACATCAATAGCAGCCTTAATCCAGTTCTCTATGCCTTCTTAGATGAGAACTTCAAGGCCTGCTTCAAGAAATTTTGCTTCCCCGCCGCCTTCCGCCCTGAGCTGCAAATGTCCAACCGCATGTGCAGCATTGCCAAAGATGTTGCTTACGCCTGCAAGAACTCGGACGGTCCGAATAATCCAGCATGACTAGGCATGGAGCTGCCTATGATGGGCGGCGAAATAGATCAAGTAGGGACTAACCCACAAGCAGAACTGACACAAATAACTGCTTTGTGACCAAGATGACAGGGGTGTCGGGAAGGGGCACCTCCTTTTAATGCAGGAATTTTACGCGCAGAATGGAAATTACTATTGAATTCCATCGGTTGTTTAATATGGAACTCCCCAAACCCTTAATAGGCTGGAGAAATTAACAGGTTTCTGCCATTGCAGCTCAAGTTATTAAAGACCCAAAAAGAGGTCCGTGTCTTGGTAGGCTACTTGAGCACCTTCGTGAAGTGAAGATTTCCTTAATTCCCTACAAGTATATTGCATTTGTGCAGGAATAATAACATTTTTATACAGTCTTAAACCTCTTTTGCTCAATAGGAGCCAGACCTATAGTGGCTAAAAATGACATACTGTCCCACCAAGAAAAGACTTCATTTGAGCATATTTATGGGACGAGTATCTGTCTATGTGTGCATTTATATTTTTTCAACTATTACACATGGAGATATCCAATCATTTAAGACAGGAATATAGTTATTCAGGACTCATGACCAAAACCATATAATTACTTGCCAGCTGAGAGGCCCTTCTACGTTGATGGGCATTGCCAGCAAGTTTTTTCCTTGGCCACATGCACACAAGGGGCCAGTGACAGGTGGAACTTGAGAACCTTAACAAAAAGTTGAAGGTGAGATTGATTGGTCATTAAAAGCCTCAATTACTAATTCTGGTGCCACCCAAAACAGCCTTTTCAAAGATGATGAAGCCCTCTTGCCAATATTACTTCATCTACATCTTGATGATGCTGCTCCTGCAAGATCTTGACTCGCCTAAAGAGGTCAGAAGTATGGGGCAATTCATGGATCAGTCCTCAAACGTTATTTTTTGGTTGCTGACCAACAAATTGAACTTATCTCAAAACTTGACAATACTATGAGCCTCAAACATTTTTTTTTGGCTACTGTCCATCAATTTTTTTAAGAAGACATAGAGGACTATGAAAAGGCAATCCATATAATGTTCCACAAGAAGTCAATTTTTTAATAGTAGTGAGCTCGAAATCCCTCAGACAGGTCTGTCGTGTCTGTTTTGTCATTGATTGGCTCACTATAGGTCCTGGTCATTATGCCCATGGCTGTTTCTTGATAAGAAAATACTTATCCAGCCTTACTTTTTTTTCTCTCTGGCATCACCCCCCTCTTTAAAGCCTTCTGACCTGTATGAAAAGTGACCCAGTCATGTATATACAGTGTATATAGACATATATATATATTATATATTTATATATATATTCACACGCACATGTTTTCGAAGCCTCAAAAAGTTAAAAAAATTAAAAATGAAAGCCTTTCTTCACTGGGGATATGCTAAGCTTTGCTCCAGCAAGTGAGGAATCAAACTAATTTAGCAGCCAAAGGCAAATTGTGACTTTAAGGGGGGGTTGTGTAAGCAGTAATGTCACGGCTGGACCTGGAGGTAACCCAGATTCGGAGAATCTTGTATTGGCCGACATTTTGGTCTACATGAATCTGTTGAAAGAGGATATGCTTCGGCCTGAAAAGGCAGAAAATCGTTCTGAGAAGTTCTAGTGATTTTCAACGCATCCCGGCCCTATGAATTGCTGTGTGGGCCAGAATACAACATCAGATTTAAATGCCATTATTGGTGTGGCCAGGTGGGGTTAGAGGGGCAAATGCATAGTTGACCATACTACAATATGCTGGTCTTCAGTGGGAGTTTAAACACCGAAAGGGTCACCACTAGAGACCGCCATCCGTTTGGTGTTGGAATAGGGGTTGGGAATGAAAAAGATGTGTTCAATGTGAAAGCGCATGTAAGCATATCTTATACAGAGAATACTCTGCATAATGATTGCATTGTGCGCAGGTATTTGGTGGTGAATGTATGTTAGTAGGTGCTTGTGATCACATTGGTAATTGGAATTGCAAATGATAAATGACTCAATTAGGCGTATGCCAGGCAACCATTTAGATCATTACTCTGGGGCTGGAAATCAGTGGTCGCTGCCAATAAAGCTTGCATGAATACAACTGGCAATACGCACAAAAGCACTTCTGGACAATAGCTGAAAAGGAAAAAGTGGGCAAGGGTCTATGTAGCTTGCTTAAAATGGACGTACACATCGTTTTTAACATTCTAAACGTAAAAGTCCTACTGAAGGGAAGACAATACAAGATACCTGATGATACCTTTATTATCCAGAAATGCCTCCTCTACCCTCTTCTGATTTACTGTAATTTAGTTACCAGCACCGAGTTTTCCTTGACTTGATGGCAAGGTCTCTCCAGCTGCCATTCCAGTGTCCAGCGACATGGCTTGAGTGGCCACTGAGGCAGTCCTTTTGGAGAGGGGGATTATCAGTGGGTGGACCTTAAACTATAACTAAAAGCAAAACTTTTTCACTGGATTAGGAGGCGGTAACGGGTTATATATAGCCACAACCACATACCAGCTGCCATCTTTGTACCCATTAGGGAGATTCACTTTCTCTAATTGTCCTGAACACTAATGTCACCAGGAATGAAAGTGAGGGGTAGATCCAAAATGTTGAGTTGCCAACAGAACAGGAATAAAGGGGAATTCTTTCAAAGGGGCCACTTGTTCCTGTAAAACTTCCCTTAGATTGTAAAGACATCCTCTCCCTTACTGTTGAGCCTACAGGAAGTGAAGGGGAATCTCCCTAATAACAGACAGATGGAAAAAATATGACATTGGTTTTACCCCCTCCCTATGCCAAATGCTTGACCTCACACAAGCAGGAAATAAGATTTATGTGTAACAGTTGTATTCATTATGCCAGATTTGTAGCTAAAGTGAAGAAATTTGATAAATTATTGGAAAAAAATCTTATTGGAAGAGTAGAAAACCCCTTTTAAGCTTTACCAAGAGCTCTTGAGTGTATTGCCATGTATATGACATAAGGAAGTCATCGCAACTGTAACATTAATGACTGCCAAGCACAACAATCTATTTAGGCAAACCTATTAACTGCACGCCAAAATATCAAAGTTATACTCACCTATACTGTACCTCAGAGCTGGCTGACTATTACAGCGCTTCCTCCAGCCTTTCTCCTCCACTCTAGCAATTAAATGTCCCTTGACATCCAATACACAGTGTATTGGACATGCTGACTCACAGGACCGTAGACCACTGGAGGGGGAGAGAGGCTAGACGGACTGGTATAACAGGCAGCTGGCTTTAAGGCTTGGGTGAGTATACATTTATTTTCGTATCTAGATGAAAATGAGCACTTAACCAGTGCAGGGGTGGGGTGGGGGGTGTTGGGATCCAGGTTTGGTAGCATCATTGCAAGGGTTCATTAGGTGGTTTTGCCACCTAATTAACTATCTGTGCATTTGTCAACTATTAGTCTTGATTGAGCCCTATAAAGACTCATCCTTTCCCCTTGTCCACTTTCATTTAAACACCCCCCTTTAACGAAAGATAAATGTCGCTTTACTTCCCCTTGAAGCTTTGCTGAACAGCTGACTGGATGAGAAGGTGTACACACCGCTTGAAATGCTTTGCCCGCTAAAACTGACACAGTTTCAGACATCAAAACGCATGGAAGTCATTGGGTCATTGGGGAAGGATTGTCATTTTGTTTTCATTTAAGACCCTCTAGAAGTATGGGAAGCTGCCTGAAAATTAAAAGTTAAAGATACCAAGGTGCACTTACCTCAGAAGCTTATGTGCTATTGCAGCAGCTAAAGATAGAACTGTGGCCGGACTACTGACATTCAACTGTGTACAAATTCTGAACAAGCAGTACAACTGCTTTAAGACAAGCCCTCACTTACCTCTGTAGCTACAAGCACCATGGAGTGACTTATCCTCAAAGAAGACATTCACTTTTGTTTTTCCCCTACTAAATCATGTCGCTCCATCCTGCCAGCAGTGAGTTGGCAGCCTGCCATCCTACAAAGCTGCAATGTTAACACAGAGCAGGTGCACAGGAAATAGGGGACAGCAGAGCGCTGAGAACCGACATCAATAACTTAAATGCTTCTCTTGTGAACTTTGAGGATGAATTGCTCCACAGTGCCTGCGGCTACTAAGGTCAGCAATGACTTGTTTTAAAGCCTATTCACTGCTTGTTATGGATAATTATATAGTTGAATGTCCATAGCCTAGTCACATCTGCATGTAAGTACTCAGCCTGCAGCATGACTCACCCCAGTACTCTATGCTTGTTCATCTTTCTTCCCTTCTAATAGTGCCCGCTTGACAATAAAACTGGCCATACATGTTACGGTCTGATTGTAGAATCTCTGTACAATCCTCTTTGGCTTTACCAAAACTCTGTATTGTGTTGACCTCACTAAACAATCCATTTGATTAAAGGGAAACTGAGGTAAGTGATTTTCACTCATCCTCATAGTTAGAGCCGACCTGTGACAAAGAAGCTGTCACAGGTCGGCTCTTTCGATCAGGAAGTGAGCAGAAACATGCCGCCAATCCGCTCACTTCCCGATTGTCTCCCTGCAGTGACTGTCGGTCACCGCTCCCCGCAGGGATTCCCCCATTCCCCCCCCTCCTCTCCGGTCCTCCAGCGCTGACTGAAAGAATGGGGGAGGGGGCGGGCACAGCTGGCTCTGCCTCTAGGTAGGCAGAGCCCACTGTCACTCACGCAACTGGGTGGATCTTGACAGTATTATCACGGGCAATAGCCCACTATATACTGAGCTTTGGGTCACGGGAGGAGGTTAGTATACAGTGTATGTCCTCGTGGGCCCCTAAGGAGAACTATGGGGAAAAACACTTAGTTATCTTTTAATGTCCAATGAGGAAGGCCCTTGTACTAGATCTTTGGTAGATCTAACAGAGTTTGTACAATCACATGGTAAAATGTACAATACAAGAGTAAGTCAACCAAGTTCAGATGAGCGTAATCAGAAATGCATTAAATTGATCCAACGGGTTGCATTATGTACCTATCCGGGTCGGTCACGTTGTAATGTCTGCATGTCATTCTGAGATGCAAAGTCTGGCATGTGA